AACAGTGCCCTGCAGCAGCAGTTTGGGGGCTGCTCACAGCATTCACCCAGGGCTGCGATAGGACCTGTGCCTGCGGGTTGCCAGCCCCGCTCCTCCCTTGCCTCGCCTCACTGCAGGCGAGGGTAACCTGCTCTGACTCCCAGCTCCGACGTCTGCCTCTGGCTCTGCCCCGGGGCTCCAGTCCCGGTCACCAACTCCTGCTCTGGGCATGACCACTGCGTCCTGGTCTCCGACACCGTGGCAGGTTTCGTAAGAGCGAGAAGTTACTCCAGTCACCCTGGCCACGGGTTCCCCCCGCACCTGGCTGGCGGCATTTCGGTGGCGCCCCCTAGGGGCAGCTTGTGAGGGGTGCTGGGACGCCGCAGGATGACAGGTGTCTGTGACAGGGCGGGGAGGGGGGGCTTTCGTGCGGACCCACCCTGTTAGGAGCGTTCGAGTCCTGCCAATGCGGCTCAGGCCAGGCTGACTCAGTAGGGCAGGATCCGCTTGCTGACTCCATCCTCCCTGGCTGGAATCGGGTGCAGCTGGAAGATTAACTGCCCAGGCAGCACCTGGAGGAACAGCCCGGGAGCAGGGGTTGATCAGACAGGCAGCTCAGCTGGGCAGGAACAGCCCAGGCACTGTAGGAAGGAGCAACAGGGTCTTGCGGGAAAGCAGGCCACAGCTGCAGGTGCAGGGTCCCCAGGCTGGGCCCGGGTTCCCCTGCCGGCCGCTGGGGAAGTGGCACCGGCTGGGCGGTGAGCAGGAAGACTGCCAGAGTCCATGCGTCAAGAGAGACTTTGGTACCCCTGGAAGGGGAAGCGTGCGATGACCTGGCCGGAGGGGCCAAGGCACGAAGAGGGAACACGTTGAGGTGCAGAGGGTGGGAGGGATGCTGCCAGAGGAGGGCGCAACGCCTGGCCAGAGCTAATCCCCAGAGCAACCAGGAGGTGGCGCCAGTGGCGGCGAGGGGACCCAGTGGCAAGGGGGCACATTTGGAGGTCAGCTGAAAGCGCACATGCTCCGAGCATGGCGTGGGGGGACGGCTCGGGTCACCGGGCGGTACAGATCAGAGCGTTTTTTTCTCGAGGGGCAGGACAGCTTGCTGATCACGGAAACCTGACAGCAGCGTCTCTACCGGCACACGCTCAGGGTCCCGTCAAACGCATTGGCAAGTCCTGCGGCCGAGCCCACGGACGTCTCTCGCTGCAGCCATTCTCCTTAGGCCACGGCTCCAAGACAAAATTGCGTCAACCTAACGTCCGTCGGCATGCGGCCCCTGCGGTTATTCAATCGCTTGTGCGTGTCCCCGCGCGGCTCCTTGTGTCGGGATGTGCGCCCTCACCGGGAGCGCCGTATCGAGTCGACTGTCAGCGTGGGGCATCGGGGGACGGCCCCTGAAAGCCAGTGACAGTCGCGTAAGCAGCACGGGGGCTACACTGACACTGCGTCTCTGCGCCGCTCGGGGAGGTGATGGGACTAAACGGGTGTAGAGAGGCACTTACGTCTCTACAAGCAGCTGACGTCAGCCTAACCGCCTCGCGTAGGCCAGGCATTAGCTTGCTGGTTTCAAATGGGAGAAGAAGTTACAGGTCCAGGATGGGGAAAAAAAATATTCCTCCGGGCCAACCAGCAAGCAGAGATTTGCATATGCTATCTGATTGGCTGAGAGGTGACCAATACTTTTGCTCTGGATGAGCGGCAGATCCGCGCGTTGCAATTCGACCGTGATGGCTCTTCCTCCCACTACGGCAGCTTCCCCTCCTGCTCTCTTCCCGCCTTTCTCCCTCCTGGGCAATTTAAGCCTCTGCTTGTTTCATCACACCTAGATCTCGGAACCCGGCCAGTGACATCACAGGGGTTGCTACAGCAGCAACCACAGATGTGACGGGCAGACGGGTGAAGCAACCGGCATGTGAGTAAAGAGGCGGGAGCCGCACATTTGCAAGCCGGTTCTTCCTCTGCAAGGCCGAGCCCCACGGGAAACGAAAGGCCAAGCTCTCCCTGGAGCTCTGCCCCATTGCAGAAACCAGGGAAGGAAACAAAACCATTGCTCCCGAAGTGAGCTGGTGCCATCTACAAGGAGAAACGCCGTCCCCGCTTATCTGTACACCGTCACTCATCCTCCCTCTAGGTCCATGCTTGCCTGAGCTCAGGTGTCAGACCTGCTGCTGTTCCAGTCCTGGGGCTCCCTTCCCCCACAGATGTGCTGATGCAATACCCCGTTAGCCCAGCCTTGGGCCCCCTCTGCCCGTGCACCTCGATCCAGACCCTTGCTCCTGCAGTCCTGACCCCAGCCACACTCAGCCAATGCACCTGAGCCCACCAACACCTGTGGCTGCCCAATTCCTCTTCATAAGGACCTCCGGCGACCTCCCTTTGCGAGTGGAAGGCCTTGATTTTCCGTTCCGCGCACCCGCCCACCTCCTACATTTGACAACAGGCAAATTAAGCACAAATCCCTCCCAACTACATCGTGTGTGGGATTTGAACCCCGGCCTTCAGAGAGGGTGCATAAAAAACAAAGTATAAGACCCAGTCCCCGCCTCCAAGATCCTACGCAGCAGAGCCACGCAGTGCAGGTGCATGGGCCCCTGGTGAGAGCATGGAGGAGAAGAACCCAGGGATGACTGGTGAAGGAAAAAGGTTTGAGGGAGGGACACCGGGAAAGAGGAAAGCAAGTGAGTGGAAAGGAGGCGGGAGATGCAGGCAAGACAGGGCTCTGTAGGACCTTGGCCAGAGCTCAGACCTGCTGAGATGAAAGGCTAAGCTTGCAAAGACTTTCTGCCATCCGGCCCCTGGCTGATCCCCAGGTGCGATCAGGAACTGCCCCATTAGTATTGCCAATGAGACGTCTCATGGGGACTTCAACGCTGAAGTCGCAGGCACTGGCGCTTGCTAGAGACAGGATAGTCAGCTCTATGGACCCATGTTCTGATCTAGGCTGGCGAATTGTATGTTCCTGAGAATAGGACTGAGGAAAAAAAAATACAGACGAGAGAGAGTCTCCCTGCAACGCTGGTTCAGAGAACCTGTCTGCCCAGAACCCAGAACACGCCACTCCACAGTCCTCCAGCGGGGGGGGTGGGGGGGAGATTCCACTTAAGCTGCTCCCAAAACAGCATTACTAGGGGCTAGAGCAGAGCGCTGTGATCCTCATCCTAGAAAGCTGGATTCCATTCCCAGCCACGCTCAACCCCGCGCGGAGATAGGTAAGATAACCGAGTGTCTGTCGCACTCAGACCCTCGGGTGACGAGTGCTGTGCAGTGCAAAGCACCATCAGAGTCACAATAGAGGGCGGCTCTTTGTTGGGTCCAGGCAAAACCCTCCCATGCAAACCAGCTCACACTCTACTGCCACTCTGCCGGAAAAGGCATCAGGCAAAAATTCCCTTGGAGGCTCTACTCACAAAGGTGGGTGGCGATTTCTCAGCCTCCCAACTGGCCAGCATCCCTGGTACCGTATGAAATTCCAGACCGTCATCCTGTTCGCGCCAGCAAAGATTAATGCTGCTGGAATTTATTGGAAGCCCCTTTGATTCTTCCCGTAAACGAACATCTTGTGCACACGTTCACAATCGCTCTGTTTAAACCACACCCGCTACTTCGTTCAGGACTAGCCAATACCCTCCAACGGAACATCAGGTGTAATGTTATAACAAGCCTTGGTTAGTTTACGAGATCACAGAATCACAGGAGTGGAAGAGACCTCGAGAGGTCATCTAGTCCAGTCCTCCGCACTCATGGCAGGAGTGGGTATTGTCTACTACTGTATTTATCTTCTCCCAAAACTAAATGATCCCAATCTTTCCAGGCTCTTCCCCATGTGGAAACCCACGGAAATGAGCCCCAGAGGTGGCTATGTGAGGAAAGGGCAGACTGGCTGAACCGCAGCTAGCAGAACCCAAGAAGATATTTGTGTGCCTCATCTATTTTTCACAGTCAGTTTAGCCTCTCCAGGCCAGATTTTTGTTTGTACATAAGCTAACGCAATGTGGTCCTGCTCCCAGAGGGGGATTCCTAGGCATTATCAAAATACAGCAATAATAATGGCATACTGACAACTTCTTTTTAAATTGACTAACTTCCAGAGAATTCCCATTTCTGATGGAGTCAAGTATCAGAGCCGTGTGAGTCTGGATCTGTAAAAAGCAACAGAGAGTCCTGTGGCACCTTATAGACTAACAGATGTATTGGAGCATAAGCTTTCGTGGGTGAATACCCACTTCGTCAGACATGCGTCTGGGTATTCACCCACGAAAGCTTATGCTCCAATACATCTGTTAGTCATAAAGGTGTCACAGGACTCTCTGTTGCTTATTTCTGATGGAGTTTCCTTTATACAGTCTGACCTGAGTTTTTTTCTAAATTCCTTTATTAAAAAAGGCTACGTTTCTTTTCAGCAAGGAAAACACCAAGCAACTAATTGACCGTAAAGAGGAACAATGAAACTGACTCTATAAAGCCTCTGTAAAACGCCACGTGACAAAGTGCAAAGACAGAGGTTTGCTTTTCTGCAAACGTCTCTCAGGTTTCCTAATCTCATGTGCTACTTGTAACTATCGTAGGGACAACATTTTCAGATAGATCCGGTTTTCAAGACGACCGTGTCCCTTTAAATTATTTCTTAAAGGAGGTGGAAGGCGGAGAAACTGACTTCATTAACTCCAGACTCTTGAGTTTTATCTCAATCCTTAAATCTTGATTCTGACCTGACCACAGTCTGTAGCTGGGTGACATAGTAACAGGTTGTTATTTACAACCCCTTCCCCCACCTGTTAATTAAACATGAACAATGATCTTGCAAGAACAGACAGACTCCACTCCCACATAGCCCTGCTCCCAGGTCTGAGCGGCAATTAACCATTCATAACCACATTGTTCTAGTCGGTAACAGCGCTGCAGACACCGGGCCGAGATAAAAAACACAAGATCCGCTACACCACTTTCAATTCCTGCCTGGATGTTTCTCACTAGCGGATCCTTCATAAAGTTAATGTGCAAGAGACAAGCGGACTTACCTAATGTAGGTTCCCAGAATGGAAAGAGAGAAGAGGCAGCCCCAGACTTATTGGAAGCCCATGGAGGTCTGGCTTTGAATTCGATGTCAGAGAGGGGAATTTGAAACACGGGTTGGGGTTTTTTCTCACTTCAGTCTGTGAAATAAAAATAAGAGAGACACTTCCTCAAATCATCAGAAATAGACATGGGTTTTCGGCTACGAAGCGTGAAAAATCCATAACTTTGGAAGGAGGAGCATAAACAGCCTAGCCATGTCGGTAACAGCCCCCTTCATTTCATATCGCAAGTAACCCCCAGAGACCTCAATCAGGGCCCCGTGGTGGTAGGTGCTGGACAGACCAGGCATCTTGCCTTGCCTTGGAAATCTTGCAAGACCAGACGCTCGGTTAAAAGGAAGGAATTCACATGCCAGCAACCAAACCCCAGGCAGGCAAGAGTGACACCCAATTTAGTGTGCAGTATTAAGCCTCTCACTTTCCCATAGGTCTGTGCCTGTGACTCAACCCTTTATAAATACCTAGGTAGAGAGAGGGAACTCGGATTAGCTGTTTTGCAGATGACTTCAGACCTTTGTAATAAAAACACAAGTACATTTCAGACAATGCCAGCTACCAGGGAATCTGTAGTGCAATCCCTAGGAGCAACGAAACCTTAACAGCAGCTGTCAATTAATACTGGCTCTCCTAGGCCATATTATCTGAGGGAGAATTGTCCAGGAGAGCCTTGGAGGACTAGCCTCTAAAGTTTTGCAGGACTGTATACACTCCCCTTGGAGATTATATTAGGGCCACATTTTTCAGACTTAGGTGTCTATATTTAGACAACTAAATCCACACTTAAGCAATTAAATACGTTTCCTTATTCGGGTGCCTAGACACATATGTAGGTGTCTGGCTAGAAGCACCCAAGTTTGAACACTCACATCCACACACAGGTCCCTTTTTCAGTGTGTGACTCAGGTCTTCCTGCCCCTTTCTGCTGCAGCGGCCTGGCTTCCCCCACCCTCCGGCCGTTATTCTGGGCTAGGGTTTTGAAAGGAACAGGGAAGCGCGTTGTTAAAAAGACAAACTCAGCATCCTGAACCGGCCTCCAGTGTGCCGCCCTGCCTGGGTCATTGTGTTCATCATTTCAGCCTCGCTGAAGGAGGGGAACGCCCCTTTCGCCGCCTCGCACCTGTATTCGAGGGATGGGTTTATTATCACAAGGAGAACTGGGCTCTGGGAGGGATGAACAGTTAACCCTGCTGCAACTCGTCCAGGAGCATGGTGAGCCACCTAGGCGGGTATGCTGCCTTTGGCAACGGCCAGGGCCTGTTGCTTTGGAGAAAGGTGAACACCCCACCACCACTATCTCTGGGCAACAGCCATCGATAGGAAAAAACTATCCCGCACTACTAGTTCTAGAGAGGCTAGGTGGCCAGGCCTAGGACATCCAATCTCGCCACCCTCAGCCAGTGCAGGATTGGGGGCTGGTTTTTTTACTGTCAACGACTGCTTTTGTTGACTGCCCAGATCTCGCGGTCACAGAGTTTCCCCCATATTCATCCTAATTGTCACTATTTTAAAGGGAGGCTCCCAAACAAAAGGTCCCATTTGCATTGGTTTTTGTTTGTTTTTTTTAAGAAATCTCATCTCCTGGTTCCTAACGAGCCCCTCGATTGTTGGCACTGAGGGCGTTTTAAAAGTTGTTATTCATTTCCAGTTTGTTCGCCTCGGCCCAACCAATGCCACTCGTCTATTTGCTGTTTGTTTCGAATTCAGTGCCACGCTCTGCCTCTCTCGGACGGTGGCGGTTGACTACAATCCTTGCAGGGGAAGGTTAAAAGCCTGATGGGGTTTCCTAATTCTGTCTTCATCGTCGCATTGAAAACTCCTTTGACAAACTGTCAATAAAACTTACACTGTCCGCCAGGGTCTTTATTAATTTAATCTCCTAGGTATTCGCCAGCGGACTGCCCGCTAGCTGTGTGTCAGCGAGCCTGGAAAATGAGCTTAACATGGAGAAAAAATGTTCCTCTGGGGGGAATTGGGGAAGGTGGGAACATGGCACACAGAGGAATAGGCACAAGGGGGAATAACCCAATTAAAACTCTTGCATTGGCTCTGAGAAGTCGGTCTAAAAACCCTCCCACAGTGCGGTCTCCTGCTACTCTCCCCACTTCCTCTCTTCATCTAGCATGGGGCTCTTCTGGGCCCGTCTCCACGGCAAGTCCTGCTCTCCGGAGCAGCCTGCCAGTCTGTGCCGCACGCCAATGGCAGCAGGAAACCTTTGGTCTTTATTCCCCACCTGCCATTTGGGGGGCGGGAGCTTCCTGTTGTTTGTACACAAGGGGTTTGTGTGTAGACACAACCCCGGAGAGACAGAGAGTGTGTGTACATAAGCCTGCACAGATAGTGTGTAAGTTTACACACAACTCGGCGGGGGGGGGGGGGGAGAGAGAGTGTGTGTACACACAACCCTGCACAGAAAGAGTGTGTACACACACACACAACCCTGCAGAGGGAGAGAGAGTGTACACACACAACCTTGCACAGAAAGAGTATGTACACACACACAACTCTGCAGAGGGAGGGAGAGAGAGAGAGAGAGAGAGAGAGAGAGTGTACACACACAACCCTGCACAGAAAGAGTGTGTACACACACACACAACTCTGCAGAGGGAGAGAAAGAGAGTGTACACACACAACCTTGCACAGAGTGGGTGCACACACACACACACACACACACAACTCTGCAGAGGGAGAGAGAGAGAGAGAGAGAGAGAGTGTACACACACAACCTTGCACAGAAAGAGTGTTAACACACACACACAACTCTGCAGAGGGAGAGAGAGAGAGTGTACACACACAACCCTGCAGGGAAAGAGCGTGTGCGCGCTGGTGTGCCCACACACGACCCTGGAGAGCATAGCGCGTTGTCTCGGTGAGGAAGAAGCTGGCCTGAAGAGAAGTGAGCCCATCTGCAAGGTTTGTGTTTCCAGCACTCGGAGATAAACCCGCTTGTGCCGCACCTCGCTCGGATTAGCTTGAAAAAACAATAGCGGCTGGATCAAGAGCTCTGCGCTAATGACACCGGGGGTAGGGGGCTGCATCAGCGCCCACCAGCCCCTCAGCCAGGGACCCACCTGCTTTCGGTTTCTCTCTCTCCCGCGGGCAGTTTATGGTCCCGGTCCAGGAAACTTTTCACTACAATAATTAAAGGCGCCATTCCCTGGGCACCTGTGCCAGCCCCCCACCCGTCGGAGCGGACCCTGGGCACATGAGGAGCTGGCACAGGGAGGGGCTGACCCTGGGCAGGGGCTCACACCGGGGAGGGGCTCAGGGGCTGGCACAGATGAGGGGTTCAGGGGCTGGCGCTGGGGAGGGGCTCAGGGGCTGGCGGAGGACAGAGGAGGGGCTTGGGGCTCCCCCGGTAGGGAAGGGGCTGGCACAAGTGAGGGGTTCAGGGGCTAACAGATGGCAGGGGAGGGGCTCAGGGGCTCCCCCGGCAGGGGAGGGGCTGGCACAGGTGAGGGGTTCAGGGGCTGGTGGAGGACAGGGGAGGGGCTCAGGGGCTCCCCCGGCATGGGAGGGGCTGGCACAGGTGAAGGGCTCCGGGCCTGGCAGGACAGGGCAGAGGCTCCCCCAGCAGGTGAGGGGCTGGTAGAGGAGGGGCTCCCCGGGCAGGGGAGGGGCTGGCACAGGTGAGGGGCTCAGGGGCTGGCACAGGACAGGTGAGGGGCTGGCACAGGTGAGGGGTTCAGGAGCTGGCAGAGGGCAGGGCAGAGGCTCCGCCGACAGGTGAGGGGCTGGCGCAGGTGAGGGGCTCAGGGGCTGGCAGAGGACAGGTGAGGGGCTGGCGCAGGTGAGGGGCTCAGGGGCTGGCAGAGGGCAGGGGAGCGGGCGGGGACGGTCTGACCGGGGCTGGCGCACTCGGGGGAGGGAGTCACGGTGCCCCGGGGAGGGAAGGGAAGGGGCAGCCCGCGGGGTGGGGGGCGCTGCCCCCAGGGGCCAGGCCGCTCCGGAGGGGGAGGGGGCGCGGCCGGGACTCACCCTGCGCCGGGAGGCTCCTGGATCCTCCTGCCGGGCTGCTCCCCTCGCTGCCCGGGGGCCGCTGTCAGCCGGGCCGGGCTCCTGACTTCGGCAGCAGCCGCCGCCCAGCACTTCCGCATGGCGGGGCCGCCCCCGCCGCTCAGCCGCGCCTCCCTGCCGGGCTTCCCAGGGGCCAGCCCCGCCTCGCCGCCGGGGGGAGCCCCGCACCTGCCCAGGGAGCCCTTAACCTGGGCCAGCCCCGGAGCCCCTCACCTGCCCGGGGAACCCCGCA